TTTTATCGATTTAAATGTAAATTTTTATTAAATTTTTGTTATACGGTTTTATTTAAATTTTATTTAAAATAATGTAATAAATAAATGAGATGATTATATAATTTATAATGAAAATATTGATATAGTAGTTCTAATCATTTTACATGTTTTATCTACAAATTAATTTATAATTTTTTTCAGAATTTCGTTTAAAGAGCTCTTTAATATACAAAGTGATTTAATGCGTGAATTATTGTTTTAATTTTTAATTATGTGGTTAGTTATTAAAACATTTTTAATAAAAATAGATTACAAAAATGACTTTAAGTACTTGTGGCAACAAGCGAACTGACTGGCTTGAATCTGGCTATAATTTTGTCTTTTAACATCTTAAATTTGAATATTATTATTCAAAATGTTCAAATACATATTTTACGTTGTATAGATGAACATTTATATAAGCATAATTTTTGCAACGTTCATTCCAAAGATAGATTTAATCGTTTTTCGCACAAAATATATATCTGTATTTGTAATTTAGCAACACGTTGAAATATTGATGTAGTAACAATTAATAAGAATTTTAAACTAAGTTTGACATAATATTATGTAACATTCTAAATTCATTATAACTTATAATATATAGACTACTATACTTATATTTTTTTCTACTAATAATCTATTGTTATTGGATTTATCTCATTCCACTGCCACAAATTTGTACTTGTAGAGAAATGGAGAAAATATGTGTTAACAAGGGAGGGAACATAAATAAATACCTAAGAACAGAAGTCCGTAGCACACAAGATTGACGGTGTGAGTCCGGAGAAAAGGATAATTTAAAAAAGACTATTATAACATTCAGTTCCTATATGAAAAAATATACTGAACATATTTCAAAATTAATTTCTTGCTTTTTCCACTTTTCAATCTTTTTAATAAAAAAAAAATTGAAGTTCTATCATTAATACGAAAGTTGTTGACAAAATAATATAAGAAATACAATTTATAAATATATAAAATATTCTTTACATATATTTAATTGATTGTCAGATCTTATGGGCTTTAATGAACCCATAAATACCATTTGACAAACAAGTCAACAATTTTACTCTTTTATATTTTATAACTCTAAATAAATTTCTATTAAATACAATTTTTATTTTTTAATATATATATATATATATATATATATATATATATATTTTAACGGTAAATATTCGAATTTATTGCATATTTCGAAGAATACATTTCACTTAATGAAAATTTTTTTTTAATATAATACGATCATTTAATAGTTTATTATTTTTCAGTTATAATAAAGTTATATAAAATAACATCTTAAGTATTGTATAAACTTATTATTTTTTGGTTGTTTGTGTTTTAATAGTAAACTCTTACTATTTCTTGCTTATGACGAGGAAGAAAAATAAAACACATGTTCCATATATTAACATAACAATTACTATTAAGTATTTAAAATTTTATTTTTAGCATTATTTCATCGATTGCAAGTAGAATAATTATTTACAATTTAATAATTCTCTAAATATTATCTAAAATTCATTATATTTATTTCATGTTTTTGAATCGTATTATACAATGGTGTACATAAGATAAACTTAAGTATTTGAAATCTTTACATTGCTCAGTAATTCTAATCTAATATGCATATAATAAAAATGATTAATTTTATTATCGATTATAAAATTTGAGTTTTATTCAAATTTTAATTTTAAGGCAAGATAAATTATTATTTAACCATCGTTAGAATTTTTCATTTAATTTTACACAATTAAGCATTTTTAATGCATTATTTTTTATCATATTAGAATCGAATATTAAAATTAAAAAAGAATTTGGTAATAATAAACCATTATTATAAAATTGAAATAATGAACAATGATCCATAAAATATAATAAAAATATAAATCATTACATTATTATGCCTTTTTAAATTTCTTATATTCAAAAAAATACTAATTTAATAAAAACATTTCATATAATTACAATGTGTAAAAATTATACTATGAATTTCATATTTATAATTGTTTTAAAAAATATAACAAATATAATTTTACAAAATTTTCAATTTATCTGAAAATATTTAATATAAAAACCGAGAGTTTTTTTACTTTCAATTGCTTATACAACAGATGAAATTACATTAAACAAAAATATAAAAGGCATAGTATAATAGTTTTGTTAGTAGAATAAATATATTTTGACAAGTAATTCTCATTATGCGTGCATCGCAATATTTGCTGATATTAGATATGAAATAGTAATTTTAATTAACTTTAATAAAAATTTATATTTTTCCATACATATTTATGTACTTCTGCAACAAGTGTGTCTATTATATAAATAGTTTAATATATATATATATATATATTTTTTTTTTTGAGTAATTTTTACTTTTTTAAAGCAAGTTCAATATCATTATTTTAATAAATAAAGATCGCTTTTTATATTATGTACTATATAATAATTTGAATACACATATTTGCATCAGTGAAATGATATCGACATTAAGATTATGCAATTTAATCAAACTTGATTATTTAAAATCCCTCCAACTTCAATTTTTTTATAAAAAATAAAATGTAAATATTTAACGTTTTTATTATGTAATTGATATATTATCTGTTAAATTTTAATCTTGTTTTATATTTAAAATTTTAATGAGACTATGTCAGATTGAAACTTTTACTTTAAATTAAGTATAGAACATTTCATTAACAAAAAAACTACGTATTTTATTATAAGAAATTTGTTAATTATTATTTTACTTTGATAACACTCTAAGTATTAAATAAAATTTTTATGAATTATCTACATATAAAAATCATGTTAGTTTTTATATGAAACTTTCATCAAAGCCAAGCAGTAATGAAGGTTTGAACTTGTTTTTATGAACTATGTAATACAGTGTACACGTGGTTGACTCAACAAATTAAATATTAATATTTTATTTTAAAAAATACATATCTAGAAAAACAATATTTTTATTTTCATTTTAAATATGTAATTAAGAGATTACTTACAAATTCTGTGTACTTGTAAAAATGTTTATTTATTATTTAAATTATTTAAATTATTAATTAAAGATTATTAATACGAAATATTGATATAAAAATAAACAATATAATAAAGTAGTAAATATAAAAGTTTTCAATTTAAATTTTATTTCTCATAGAAAAAATTAAAATAAAATGAATATAATTGGTTTGTATTGTATTTATAATCAAGATCCTTTATGAAAAACTTTTGTTCAATAAAAATTAGATAATTTTCTATTTTTTAGCTATATAATTTACAGAAATTTGTAGTAAATTCTCTTTAAATGTATATTTATTTTATTTGAAAAATAAAATATTTCAAAATATTGTTTAAAATATGTTTTTTAAATTATTTTTAATGTTATTAAATATTAAAATTAATTTTTAATTAGAAGTTTGATATTTTGATAGAATTCGATTCATTTATAAAATAATATTATTCTTACATCTTCCGTCAATTTTGTGAATTTTTTAATTTGTTGAAAGTAAATTATACATCTTATTTCATTAATACGTACATTTTAATTACTTATACTTATAAGCATAAAATAAAACAAAAAACTTAATTTACATGCTATATCGTAAGTTTTTCAAATTATATTTATATAACATTTCCAAATCAATAAATAAATAATAATTTGATAATGGTTTTTCATTCATTTTTTTTATATCATACATATTCTAAATATTAAATTTTCAAAGATTTAAATAATTATTAAAATTCACTTATCTTTAACATTTAACTAATAAAAAGTTTTCATGTATTTTTTTTTTAATCGCGAATACAATTTATTACATATATAATAAATTACTTTAATTTTTTCAATTATGATAGTATATTTTTAATTTATTATATTTATCAGTTTGAGATTAGAAATTCATAAATATTTCATAAGCCATTTGTTTTTATTGAGTGACAAATACTTTTGAATGGATTAGTTCGAAATGCCATTTTGTCTGTTTTAAATAAACGTTAAAATTTTACAAAAGTATGACGATATAATGAAATATGAATATGTTACAATAATAAAATATAAACTAAAACTCATATTACAATATGTGTAACGGAAATATAGACACAAGTTATTCATATTATGTTTTTAAAATTTTTTTTTATTATTTTAATTAATCATTAGAATATTTAATTTTTTATATAATTTATTTATTGAAATTTAAAATGCCTAAAATTCTATTGTCAATATACATGTAAAATTATTAAATTATATTAATTTATATTATGGATATTTTTCAATTATTATTTTTTTGAAAATACATCATTATGTTTTTTTAAGAGTATTTTAGCAAAAAATTTATCGAATAATCTTTTTGATTGGTTTTAATTTGGTTCAAGATAAGTTCATTTTAAAGTATATATAAAATAAAAATGTGTTAATATTAATTAAAAAAAGATATTTGTAATTTCATTTTTAACAGATAATAAAGTTGTAATAAATTATACGAAATTATTGAAAACAAGAACTTTATATTATTTATAATTATAATAAATAATTATAATATGAATTTATTAAAACTATTTTTATATACAAAATGAAATATTTAAATTATTAATTTCAAATTATTTATAAAATAGTTGTAATATAGTTGTAAAATAGGTGTAAATAATATATGAAATATGTAAAAATAAATAAAAATGTTTAAATGTTATTCATACTTTTATAACATTTGAAATATAATTTTTTACGAAAACTTTGTATATACAAATAAATATGATGATATTTAGCATTTTCATTTTTTTCAGATATACCTTTAAAAATACTTACAGCCGATTTTTGTTCTCTTTTTTTTATTTTTTGAGAACGGCATTAATATTAATCAATATTACTAACAATCTTGGCTTTTAATCACAATGTATATATTAAGGCATTACAAAAATATAAGTAAAATTTCTTATTCACATGTAACAATGATATTTTTTTAATTATTAACTAGTAAAAATAATTAAATTTATAGCAAATAAAAAATTTAATTATACTAAATTGAAGCTACTGTTATCAGTGTGTATCTTCCAACCTTTGCACAAATTTTGAAGGTATACCAATTCGTAACAGATAGGATTGCGGTTTTACTTTTATATGAGGATAATAAAAATTTAGGGCTTCCCAACAAATCTCTGAAAGTTTTGGTATGGTCAACCAAACCGAATGAACCTTATCTGTTCTTGCCACCTGCAAAAATATATTGTATTATTAATTTTTTGTTAAGATTCATATTACAAAATAGTTATTTATAGTTTTTAAATTTTTCAATACTAAAAAATAATTACATTTTTATTATTCACAATATCATAAAATATAATTGCATTGTATATGAAATTATACAAACTGTACTGTGAATCAACCTTATGAAATTTATTATATGTAGAATTATGAAACAGAAATATTATAAGTAGAATATTTTTCACCTCATTTTCTTCTTTTACTATTCCACCAAATGTAAACATTTGACCTACTGGAGTAAGTGCAATAGAATGAAAATAAGCAGGTTGCGGTAACAAACATGTTCTCAAACAGGTCCATTTTAAGTTATTTAAATCCAGCCTCCAAACATCATTGAAAACTTGCGAACCATTGTATCCTCCGGATATAACAGCCAAGGTTGAACCTGTTATTTCATCTACATACTGAACTAAGCCATGGCATCGCCTTGGGGCTGGATAATTTTCTGAATCACCTTGGGTACATAACGTTTTCCATTTTTTTGCTAAAGTATCAAAAGCTGGGATATCCTAAAATTTGAAAAAGTAGTATCGCTATAAAATTGTTATTAAATTATCTAAGTTACTTGAAGGAACAGCTTATTATCTTCAAATTAATTATTCTAAAAAACGTGTAAAGAAATACAATATCTTAAAATATCACTTATTAATGTTATAATAAGTACATACAAATTATACAATTATAAAATAATATTTGTTAAAAGTTTTGTATATTTTTGAATTTTAAATTATAATTTACATTACTTGATATTAAAAAAATTAATTTTTAGGGTGCTAGCTTTAAGAGAATTTATTAAAACTTAAGAAAAAAATTTATTTTTTGTATAGTGTCATACTTCAAGATTGAAAGCTTCGGAGGCAGTACCACCACCCAATACATAAATAATTCTTCCATCAAATGCAATTTCATGTCTATATCTGCCTTTCGGTTCGCACTGATCTCTTCCACCACAAATATAAACGGACTCCCACACTTGAGTTTGCATATTGAGTCTATGAATATCGCACGTATATTCAACACCAGTTGTCCCACCGACAGTATATAGATAGGGTCCGTGACATATTACAGCTTGCCCATACTGTGGGCTTGGTAATTCACCTTCTGCAGGTATAATTTTCATTTCTCCACCGTTAACATTATACAAATATACATTATTATTGCAATTATCGCCAAAAGGAACTCCAGTGCCGCCATGAATTATTAATGTAACACCTTTTAATACAATGGCATTGGAAGCTAGTTCATTGGGCATTATTTTTTGGCAAGGTAAACGTTTCCACGTCTTGGTGACAAAGTTGAATTTCCAAATTTCTTTAAACAGAGGCCTACTGATGCTCCAATTTTGATCATTCCTCATATCCGGATCATTAGCCGTAATACTGGGATTAAAACCTCCATAAGAATATAGATTTCTCTCATCGCAGACAACTCTGTGTCCACTGCGAGCTTTTGGTTTTTCTGGACCTACTACATGGTGCTTTATGAAAACAAAGGGCTTGAATGCGTACATTTTAGATGAATCGAACTTTGACATACTGTGAAGGGACATAAGCTTAAAGCTCTGTGGGACGATAAAAAAAAAAGCAATTGTAAGGTTATAAATGACTCCGTTGTTAATCGTCACGCAATCAGGATGCAGTTCCCTAGTGCTCCGAATTGTTCGATCATCACGACGTTGTAATCGACCACGATGTTACACACCACGTTCTGTCTCTCTCTCTCTCTCTCTCTCTCTCTCTCTCACTCTCTTATTCTTTCACTATCGCACACTAATCATCTAATGATGAAGCCAGACGTTTGCTAGCATGGTTTTCCTTACTGCATTTTAGTTCAATGCATTTAGGGACTACGTCGAATAACCCATTTCAAAGTACAAACACCCTCGTACACTGTGTTCCCTTCTACTGGTCTCTCTTCTGTTATGTGTGTGTAATAATACACCGCATCAATGTTTTATTGCTGTTGGTGGCGCTTGGGTATATGCACACGAGGACTTTACCTTCTACGTCTACAAGGTACAATTACAGGGGATAGCAACAGTAGCTTTTTTTATTAATCTTTACGTCTGGTGTTACTTTCAATGTTTCGAAACATGCTTTGGGAGCTCTCTGTGGGACAGGGCAAAAGACAAAGTAGAAAATACAACAAACTTCGAGACTATTCGACACGACAACGTTTTTGTTATGTAGGTCGATAACGAAAGAATCTGCAGCTCGTTTGGTCGATATTGTAGATCGTTTGTCTTCCTTCCACAATACAACACAATACATTCAACCGCGTTGTTTGGAATGAATGATAAACATTGCCGTTCATTTTAAACGCGTTAAAGCTCCATCACTCTTCCCTTGATTATTTAATATTGACTAAACATTACTAATTAGATCTTCGACATTTTATTACCAATACATATATATATATATATATATATATATATATATCTAAATAGATCTTCGACATTTTATTACCAATACATATATATATATATATATATATATATATATATATATATATATATAGTATAAGTTAACTCGATAGTAACACGAACAGTTTTAATTCTATCTATTTATAGCGATAGGTTAATTAATCGTACTAGGTTAATATTTAAGTATTTAGATGACGCTTATTAATTTTTTTCACAGTCTTTAATAATAATTTGTTTCCCAACATTTCATTTAAATTTATTATCTTCTTTTTCTTTTTGGCAAACATTGATTCAAATTTAACGTGAACATTGAATATTAAATATTTACTGTTAAATATTTATTTAAATTATTTTAGTACATTCTATATCTGTATTTTAATTACTAAAGCTCTAGTTCAATTAGCTTTGAAATTCTTATATTATTAAAGATAAAATTATAATCACAAACATAGGTAATTAAGAATTTTTATTTATTTTATCTACATAACTTTGTTCAAATCAACGATTGCAATATACATTTTCTTTTTCTTGAAGCATTATTGAATTAATCATATAATACAAATATATTGGGGTATTTTCATATGTATTAAGTACCTCAGAAATACTGTGTGCAATAATTAAATAAGCGATTTATCATTACTTGCAGGTGAGTTGATATAAAAATAAGTTATGTTTATATAATTCATTAATTTGTTTTGGCTGATCGCATATTGGCATACGTGATATATTAAAAGATTAAATAGTAGACATTTTTAAGTTTAGATGATTTGCCGATAGTACAATCCTAGAAACGTACGTTTATCCGCTTATTACATATATTTTGAAACATAATAAAATTAAATGTAGAATATCTTACAAGACTAATATTTTTTATCCTTTACATTTTTTTCTTAATCATTATACATAATTGTAAAATAAAGAATTTATTATTTAAATATAAATATTTATAGAAATATTCATATAAATATCATAAAAATCAAATTATAATTTAATAATTAAATATAATCAAAATATTTATATAAAACAAATATAAACTCTTCATAGGAATATTCCAAAGATAATCTATGCCATAAAATAATATTCAATATTAATCGGAACAATTAACAAATGACTATCGCATGTAAGATTAATGGATATTTAAAATTTTTTAATTTCTATTTCTATGCCAAAGCAGAGGCCATGCATTTTCGATAAATCGACCATTTAATCATTAAATGAAATCGACGATGCCGTTTTGTAGAATTACATTATGGTGTTAAATATAAACAGTTGATTTTCAATATTACACGAAACTATTAAATTCCTGATTATTGTCAATATATAAAATTATTTTATATTTTTAAATTGAGTATGAATTAAGTAATCAGTTTCTTTAGAAAAGTCAGGCATAAAGGTTATAAGCATTGTTATTTTTTGTTATGAGAGTAGAGAAATTAATAGACGTAAGTAAACAACTTTTTGTATGATAAGTGACGAGGTAAGGATATAAGTATGGGTTATTGATATAGGACATTCGGAAAAAAATTAATGGTAGCATATATATTGTAGCGAAGATCATATATGATTATTTATATGAAAATAATAAACATAACCTACATTACATTAAAAGAGTTATAAAAAGAGTAAAAAAATTACGTGAAGTACAAAATAACTGTATGTCAAACTGAAATTTTACATTTCTTCTTTAATGATTAAAGCGATCAATTGATCAATACTTAAATTGATTAAATTAAATGAAAAAGAATATGTTGATTTATTTCTATCAAACACAACTGAAATAAATACTTCATATTTTGTATTAGCTCAATACATATTTATTTTTCTAGAAACAAAAAGAATATTAACGATTCTAAAGATTAAATAAATATTATTTATAAATTTAAATATTTAATTAAATAATTGGTATTTTTAATTGACTCTTTGAATTTATTTCGTAATTTTACCAATAAGTATCTGAAATATTTTTGAAATTACATAAATATTATTTGTTACAAAAAATATTAAGCTGTAAAGATTCTAAAATGCATAAATTTAAATAGTAAATTTACTCATACCGTTAATGTTTTTATATTTCTACATCAAAACAAACACTGCTAAAGAATATTATAAGACATTTTAATTCGTACTTTGTAATAAATTCTTTACCCGTAGGAAACTAATAATTATTTAAACATTTTACGCGGTTACTATTATATTGTTTAAATATTTTTGCAATTAAATATAATATAAATTATATTATAATTAAACGATAAATATAAAATGGTGTTTCTATGATAAAACAAAATTTCTTAATTATTTTAAGAGAAAAACTGGTTTATTATTTTTTATTTTTTTTTTTCATTAAGATTTGCTTATTATGTGACTTGTTGATATATTTTTATAAAATATGATGGATGTATAATGCCAAAATTTGCTTGTGAAATGATTTATAGCAGATTTGACAGTAATATGTTTTCTATTTAAGGTCTAAAATTTTTATTTGTATATTAATATTAAATGCAAAGTCAAATACTTTAGAGCGGTTTTAGTAAGTTTTATAGAAAAATATTTAATTAATGCGGAGCTTTTCAAAGTCAAATTTTCAATAATCAAATAAATTTTACATTTCCTCAATAGATATCGATTTTAAATTGCCAGTCTAATACATTTCTTGTCTATTAGTAAATACTCTAATTAAATATATATTTCAATATATATAAAATTGACTTGATTAGCTTTCCCTTTTATGGCGAAATATAATTTCAAATAATGTAAACTATTTTATAATTTTGTATAAATGTTGGCATTTAAAACATTTGTTTCTATTTTCAGCTAGTTCAAGTCGTAGTTTAAATATGTAGCTAAGATTTTAAGATATTAATTATAATATCTATTATTGCTAGTTACTTTTTAAGCGTTTTATTAATAAATTTGTTAGTATTTTTGAAGTTAAATGCTTTAAAATATTTTTATATGATACTTGACTATTATAATGTAATATAACTTGTAATGCATAATAATATGTAAATATTCTAATACAAATTTAAACATAATTTTTACAATTAAAAATGTTAAATATAAAAAAATATTCATAATAAATATAATTAATTAATTTTTTATATATTTTGATTGATGTTGCTGAAATTTTTGTGCTTCTTTTTTTTGATGTTCATAGTCACTCTATTATGTTCTTAGCCAGTGATTTACTTACAATTATGGTAATTGTTGTAATAAGGTTTTGATTTTAATTCCATTTGTATAATAACGAGCAACATTTTAGAAATAATACATAGTGTTTAATAGACATTAATTAGCTAAATCATAATTTAAATCTTATGAGTAGTATAATAAATTAAATTTCAAATAATTTCTTCATTTATCTAATGTAATTTCAATTTCAATCTTTATTCACAATGTGAATTCTGATATTTACATAATATTATTCTATTTCCTGATAAATAGTTTGAAAAGATTTTATAGGAATCAATAATTATAATAATGATAGGAAATTATGTACATAATAAGTTTTTATACTATGAATTTTTATATGGTAGCTTCTTAATGAATAACATTACTTTTATGTACACAAGTATATTTTAAGATATAAATAAATAAATAATTCAAGTTTTAAATGTCCCTATTTTATATTATATTATAGAGATATTTTTGTATAAATTATTAGTAAATGTTTTTAAAGTTTTTTTTTTTTAATTTATTCAATATCTAAAACTATGTATATTATATTAAAAATAATTGTACTAATAACAGTAACAAGTAGAGTAGAATTAATAATATAAATGAATCAATTGTTTTCTTGAATGCCATAATAAATGTATAACCAGGATAACAAATATTAAGATTATATATAAGATATAATTGCACATGAATTAATTATATAATAAATAATTTACGAGTTCTAGCAAGAAAATTTTGTACTTACTAATAAATTAAGTATTACAAATCTATTATTCATTCACTTTCTTTAGATCATTCATTTTTTATACAATAACGTATCTATTATATATTCATCTTGGGCATTGAATAATTGTTAGTTAAATGATACATAACACATTTTAATGATATTTATCTTATAATTGTAATAGAATTTTCTATTTTATAATATTAAAATAGTAAAATTATTAAATATAATTCTTTTTTAAAATTTCTATTAATAGAATTTTTTATTTTAAAATATATTTAGTTATGGAAATTAATTATCTATTATTTTAAAGCAAATTAGGCTATGTATTTAATATATGTTTTTAAAAAGAATTCTTGCATATTAAACAAATTCAATATTTATGTGGTTTTATGAAAATAACAGCCATTATTTTTTAAACAAATGTTTTTTAATAATTATATATAAATTTCTTATAAGTCAGATATATTTCAAAATGCTTGATAATATATATATATATATATATTATTGATTGATAAATAAACAAAATGAAAAAAAAAAAAAATACTCCGCTGCGGACAGGATTCGAACCTGTGCGGGTAGAACCCAATGGATTTCAAGTCCATCTCCTTAACCGCTCGGACACCGCAGCAAGTGGACAAAAACTTTAAAATATTAATACTTATAAGAGACTTTTATTGTATAATTAAATAATTCCTAGATCAATAGAATTTTATTGAACGCGTTATTCTGATTTATAAATTTAAAAATTAAATAATATTTTCTTTTACGTAATATTAGAGCAAATTCTTTCTTAGTATTGATAATCTCGTTAATGTAAATATTATTTAATACTCACTACATTTACTTAAATGTAAAT